GGATGTTTCTTGTCTCATTTACGGATGCTTACGGATGTTTCTTGTCTCATTTACGGATGCTTACGGATGTTTCTTGTCTCATTTACGGATGCTTACGGATGTTTCTTGTTTCATTTACGGATGTTTTATTATGTTTTTCATATTATCACTTTGCAACTCCAACCTTAACTAGAAGAAGAATTTATCATTTACAAATATCTGAATCATTATGATAACATTTATCTATTGAACTACTAATCCTTAACTTGATTCATACTTCACATAAGTGCTATCAAAAGAAGAAAAAAAAAAACTGCCTTACTATTCTTTATCATTGATTTATATTTTAGGTTGGTGGTATCTATACGGTATTACGCAGTAAAGCACCAATAAGTACGGAAGAATATGGTGATCAGTACTGTATGTTAGGTCCATTACGTAATGGAAAATGGCAATTAGAAGTAGAACAAATTGCACCTGAAAGTCGTCATATTGCAACGGCTATTCACAAATTGAAAGAAGGTGGTTTCAAGGTAAACAATGTGATATTATTCAGGTATGATTTTAGATAGGTGTCATCATTAGGAATGCTAAAATTGTTTTTTTTTTTTCTTTTATTCTACTAAGCTAATTTTTCAGGCAGTTTATGGACGATGGCTAATTGATGGTTATCCAAAAGTAGTGTTATTTGATTTGGGTTCTGGATCAATGAAAATGAACGATTGGAAGCATGAACTTTATGAAAGGTTAAACTTCATTGATAATGAACAAGATGCCATTTTTATTTTTCTTCATTGATTTATTTTTAAATTTCTAGCATAAATTTGAAGACCAATGTGACATATTTGGGATCACATGTGACATTGATAATATTTTTGAATTAATAAATGAAGAGCTAAGCAAAGAATTTTAATTCATTTCTCTAATAACATTTTCTTTTTTTTATATTTCATTCTCCTAACCTAAATGCATATCAAAACTGAATTTGAAATTGCAAATTATTGAAAATGGTTGCAATTTTCCTGAAGCAATTCCGGAAGTTATACCGGAAAAATTTCACTTGTTTTAGCTGTATGTGCTGGAAATAACATATAAATTTAAAAGTACTACTCTTTTAATAAGTTAAAGAGTGATTTAGTGCATAAAATGTTGATGATTATAAGCATGATTAATAAATAAGCTAGACTGGATCATATATTTCTTAAATTAGTGATCAAACGATTGGTGACAAAACTTTGCAAATTAGTGATCAAACGATTGGTGACAAAACTTTGCAAATTAGTGATCAAACGATT